AAATCACCAAAACAAACATGCCCCTACCCCAAGAGGGTCTCGCCCCTATTTTGATAGCTCCGCCCCACACATATGTACGCAACCCAGGCAACGATTAGTTCTGTGAAACAAAGCAAAACCAATGTTACACCGTGTCTACACCGGACGCGAGCGGCGCGGCGCGACAAACTCAATATAATCAGTGATGCTGTCTGCACTGGATGTGGCGCGACACGACAAATCCCCGACAGAAAACTGCTGCTGCGTTCTATTTATGATGTACTGACACAAATTTCAAATGATTTTGACTCTCTTTTTTCTAAAGTGTTTTTGAAAAAAATACATACCCCACCTTTAAAAGCTCCAGTCCCCATTCATCTTAATTGCACACCTACACCTACAACTCTCCACTAGCCAAACCAAATTATTCTTCAAGTACAACTTGAGCAAGCTATGTGACCTTGTCTAAACTGTTTGCTTTTGTCTGAATGCACACACTAGGAACAGAGGACATTATTTTATATCTTAATTTAGCAAGGATTACGGGTGTAAAGGTACACAAAAGTGACGGTACATACCTTGGAAGAAAAACAGAAAACAATAAAAATAAAATAAATAAATAAAAAGCAATTGGAACTTTTAAATATCTCACAATTCAGAATATATATATATATATATATATATATATATATGTATATATCTCACTGTTCTGGCTTTTGTCTCTTTCCTCAAAAAATCTGACTTGTGAGATATAAACTCATAATTGTGAGATAAAAAGTTGCAATTACATTTTATTTTTAAATATAAACTCAGAATTGCGAGATATAAACTCAGAATTCGCAATTTTGAGAAAAATTGTGAAAAAAGAAGAGAGAATTGTGAGATAAAAAGTTGCAAGTTATTTTTTAAATTGTCTACTCCATGGGGGAAAAAAAAGTGATGTAAAAATGTAAACCAAGAATTCTGAGGAGAAAAACAAAACAAAACAAAAAATCTAAATTGTCAGATGTGAAATCAAAATTCTGAATTCTGTGTTTATATCAATTCTGTCTCCCCGAAATACCCGCACCAAACATTTTCGCTATGATATCGTTAAACTCCTGGCAAGAATCTTTTCGCATTTCTTTCTTCATTCTTTTGCAGCCTTTTTTTCTGTATAAATCCCCAAACACCAACACATTTGAAGACTTGACAGTCTGTGTGGTTGCATCATACTCATTCTGGGGTTTTTTTATGCGTTCTTATACTGTCACCAGCAACAGGTGGACATTGTGTATGCTGACAGACAGAAGACCCTGCCATCTCTCTCTCCATGTCATAAGCTGCGTTCTATTTATGATGTACTGACACAAATTTCTAATGATTTTCAACAGTCGCTTTATCGCGTCCAGTGTAGACGGACTTTAGCTGTTGCGGCGCAGACACTGTGTTACTCTCCTATCGAGAAGAAACAAAGCAACCTCGGTGTCCGATCGCAGGCCTGTACTCGGCCCGAGAGTTTTCTAAAGCGTTTTTGAAAAAATACATATCCCACCTTTAATTTACTATATTTAAAAATATTATGTTAAAATAATCATCATTTTACAAAATCATTTTACTTCAACTGTGCTTTAGCTGCTTTTTGTTCTTATGGTTAATTTATGAATACTTGCTAGTTACAGTGGAGGACCTTGGTGGTGTGTGATTAATATCATTGTGCCCGCTTTGGCCTCCCGCAGGTGTGTGTCCTGTACGCAGTGCGGCGCCACGTCTGCGGGTCTGAGGTGTGAGTGGCAGAATAATTACACTCAGTGTGCCCCTTGCGCCAGCCTGGCATCATGCCCACTGTGCCAGCAGGACTACAACGAGGAGGAGATCATCCTGCAGTGCCGCCAGTGTGACAGGTGAGCTGTGGTCTGCGCTGTGCATGTACCTGCTGGGGTGCTTGGATTCCTTTCAACTCGCAAATCACTGCCATCAAACATACTAGATACCTACTAGATACAGTTTCTGAGGAGGAGATGCTGGCCCGTGCAAAACAGTGTTAATTTTGACAGCAAATTTTGATTTAGTTTTAGTCATGGTCTTTTGACTAAAATGCCATTTAATTTTAGTCATATTTTAGTCATCTAAATTGTTTTTAGTTTTAGTCTAGTTTTAGTTGACTAAATATCATAC